AGCAGGGGACCAGTGTTTTTACTCAGTGTAAATGCCGTGTTAAGAACTGAAATGTGAAAGGCCCTTCTTATCTAGTCCACCACCAGTGTTGATGATTAAAGCCTGAGGCTCAAACGATTGCCGACCTTAGGGTTGCCATGCGGAACGTCCCTATGATTTGAGTTGGTTTCGCATATTGCCCATTGAACCCACAGCACCATTTCTGCGCTGTCGATGAATGGGCACCCACTATTTAATCCCGTGCCTTTTAACACGTTTTTGCTAGAGTGACCTTCAGAAAGGCCGTTCCGATTTTTATATCCTGAATATTTGTTGTACGACCGTAGTAGTAGTAGTTTTGGTCAGGGTCAAGTTATTTACCGCACTGCACATCACTGGTCACCTGGCTGATGATATGAAATTAAAATCAGCTCGAAACCTAGTGTCGTTTAGCTTACCGTTCGTAAAATTAGCTTCACAGTACGTGGGAGACTGCAATCCAGACAGTTTTAGAATTTCCGTTTCTTTCCTTTCCACTGGATAGAATGCACAGTAGGCCATTGGGTTTCCCACGGTGCTACCTCCAGCATTTTCTTTCAGGGAGACTATTCCAGTTTAAACAAACATGACTTTTCATAACAGCTCTTGTAGTATGCTTGTTACGAATAACCGAGATGGTAAACCCAGCATTCAAAAATTCGTTACCTCTTATGCCTTAATCGTGCAATTCTCATTTTGTCGAGCCAATAATTAAGGAAACACAACATGTGACAGGAGACTAGATACTAGTCGGATGCTGCTGCTTTCTAGTATCATCGAATTGTAGATCAGCTGCGAAACCTGAGCTTTTTAAACAACAAGTGCAGCGTACGGCAGCCGTCTTGGATTTATAGAAGAGACCTACGCTCAAACAATTGGATAATTTCCGTTCTTTGCATATTTTCCTTTGGGTGTAAAATACTGTGATTTCTGGGCTTTCCAAGATGCTGCTTGCAGTGCGATGTTTTGGAAAGGTCGTTCGAGTTTCTGTCAGCCAAAACTTTTTAACGACTCGTCATGAATTGTGATTGCAACTCGTCGTTTTGAGGAATCAGTCAAAGATAAATTGTTGGAGACTCAGAATATCGTTAAACTGGAGTTCGACAACATCCCGAAGAGACGGTTATCAGCTGGCTTCCAAACCGCCCAAAGACCTGAAAACCACCGCAGGAATCGCTACAAGCATATTTTGCCGTATGAAGATACGCGTGTGGTGCTGCGATCGACGAAAAGTAATGCATTTGGCTACATAAATGCATCGAACGTTTTAGTATGTCGGTTGTAATCGGTTCGATGAGTGTCATCTCATCCGCGATGTGTTTAGGTGAAGTTCGGTAAACATTCTCTCAGGTACGTCGCTAGTCAGGCGCCGATGCGCGCTACTGCCGTCGATTTTTGGCAAATGGTCTGGGAAAGTGGCTGCTTTATCATAGTCATGCTGACAGCTTGCGTCGTGAGTATATTTTGTATATTTCGTTTTATTGATTATATTATGTATAGTTTGTAAAATGGCCAAAATTTGTTTTGTACACCGAGGCATGTTAGTGTTACACAGCGTTTAACTTTTCTGGTCACCGGATTCCGTTGCGCATTACATCCTCCTTGTTACCAGTTGTCTACCTTCGGTACGTATTGGCATGCCTTGGCTCATGCTACTTTTAATTTACAATACTTTTTCGGTTACCCTCCAAACTAAGCCGCGAACTTGATACCAAGCAAAACTCGTCATCGAGATGGCTTATGATATGGCTGATTGCAGTTGAGGCAATTCACTACCAGGATAGATGACTTTATGACCACCTAGGATAGAAGTGTACCCCATAACGTTGTATAACCAGGCTTAAAGAGTTATGTTTATTAACTCACGCAAACAGGAACCGTGTTAACAACGATGTTCATGTTCAGTGATCAGACATTTTCACAGATGAGTATCGGTTGAATTTGCAGGAAAACGGCGTCGACCTTTGTTATCAATATTGGCCCCGAATGAACACCGAAGGCAAAGTAATGCGATTCGGGGACTACGCCGTGACCTTGTCGAACTGCATCGAAGCGGCAGTTCATGTATTTTCCTCATTGCGGCTTAAACATCTGCCGACTAATCAGCAGCGACTGATTTATCATTTTCAATACCTGGATTGGCCTCGAGGCGGAACGCCAAGAAGTCTCACTTCATATCTAGGTATGCGTTCAGTTTTAGCATTGACTTAAGCGTATGTTCCTTTTGCTGGAGTAAAAACGTTTTGTTTTCTTGTAGGCTTCCTCGACGAAATCAGCGGTATGCGAAGGCACGTTGAAAACCAATCGGCGCTGATGAACTTGAGCGCTCCGGGTTTCCCGTTCTACGAAGCTACACCTGAATATCATCCGGAACTTGGGTGTCATATTTCCGACGTCTCTCCGCCTGTTCTAGTGCATTGCAACTCAGGAGTGGGCCGCACGGGTGTCTACCTTCTTTCGGATATAATGATATACTCAATCGAACACAATCTGGTAATCACGCAAATGGAAATGCAAAGTTTGTAATCTGTGCGAAGTGTGTCTTTTTTCAGTCTGTTACCCTTGTTTATGCCCTGTAGATGTGCCGTCATTCGAGACTGACAAGATGTATTCGAAGATGTTTTTTTCTTTTTTGTCGAAAGTCTGCATCAGTTTCACCATGTCGGAGAGATGCAAATGCTCCTTTCTTTGTTCATGGCGTTGAGCCTTGTTTGAATTAAGAAGCTTCGACAGTTAATCGTTCTTTGTAGTTTCCAACTGTTATTACTGTGGTAGGGTGGATAAAATTGATGCAATTTCGGGTGTAAATTTGGTGAAGTGCTACTGATGAGATTTTTCCAAGGGTCACATTTTATCGATTGTTAGGTTGGTGATGATAGTTGTTCTGTTATTTTCTAATGTTTCTGTTTGTAATTTTTTTGGCGATTTGACCAATGTAAGATGCTAACATCTCGTGCAATTCATGGAATAAATTACATCGGTCTCTTCATCTCTATCTATCTTATCCTTAGTTTTCTTAAAGGGAGATCGTAATGTATCGTCTGATTTGATGATGTTCCTAATGTTTTTTCCAACACATGTCTGCTCGCCTCAGAAATGATCAAGACGTAAAAGATAGAGGCTGTTGCAATCTGAGTAATCATTCTTGTTCGTTGTCGATCAGCGATTTCCTCTGTGTTCTTTATTGTTTGTTTGATGAAGTTTCGCTGGGGCCGGCCAGTTTGTCTGTAGAACTTATTTCACATGATCCAGTTCTGATGTTAGTCGCGCGCGTATGTCAAATGAGCTTTTGGCGACTCCTGCTTTCGTGAATAGGGATGAATTGAATTCAGTCTTTGGTAGTGTTCCATAGGTATAAGTTTGCGATGAGCCGAAATTTTCTCTACTTACTTTTCAATATAGAAACGACATAAATTGGATCGGAATCAGCCTTCACCAGCTCCTTCAGGTATTCAGGTATATGGGAGTTACGGGTCGCCCTTTGTGAGGCATCTTTAAGTATCACATCTCCGGGCTTGAAATTTACAAACCATTCTTGCCCTGTTTTTTTCTTTCGGTGCATCGTCGCCAAAAGCTGTTTACATATTTCGGTCTGCATTGGTTACTTGACGCACCATTTTGATGTCATATTGTGCCACTGGTCTAAAATCACGCTTTTCCATGTCCAAGAGGGTGGGAACGTGCGGAAAAGTTAATAAAAGCTATTCGGCACATCAAAAGAAGAAACACGAAATATAGTGGTGTATAATACGTCCAATCAACTGCACAATTTAAACGCAAGTCGTCAAAGCCAGATACGGTGGAAACTTTCCGATTGACCCAATACGTTTGCTCTTTCACTTCCATCGCTAAATGGATCGATGAATTTGCAATATTTAGACATTGGAAGAAAGCTAACGTGATTTCTCAGAGTCACAAGAGTATCATCGACGTTTCTCCAGTTCACAGTTGTTGAGATCATTCTTTTCAAACGTGAATCATTTTTATTAAATTATTATTTAATTCCAGACTTAAACTGATGAAAAGCATTATTTTATGTACGAACTTTGGTGACTGTTGTTAAACATCGATTCAGTTTAAGATTTTCTGTATTTTTTTCCACAAAAGTTTTTTCGCTTTAATGTTTTTACGTCTGATCGATATTATTTAGGAATTCGATTTGCCCAGTGTGTTGGCGATGTTGAGACAGCAACGAATGAACTTTGTAGATACGTACGAACAGTACCTGTTTGTCTATCAGTGCCTGGAAGAACATATTCGTCATTCGCGGCTAGTATAAAGTGTTCATTCAGCGGTGTTGCTAATTCACTTATTGAAGTGCCTATATTTTACATTTTTTCGCTTTTAATGTTATTTGTTTTTTATATTAATTTTTTTCTGCTGCTGTTTTATAATTATTGCCTTTATTACTTTGCATTGCCTTAATGATATTCAGCTCATGTTGTTTCGTGTTCGCACTAGATGTAGGTTTGTTCGATCGTTTGTTTAATTTGGAACGATTTCCTAGAGTAAACTTTACTTAGCTGTAAAGCCTTCGATTTCGTGTAATGGTAGATGTATATCTAGTTTGCAAGTTTCGTTTTCTGACGCATTAGGTGCGCATGTGCTATTGTGTATATATCTGGTTTCTGCTGTCGCTCAGTTTTCAGTTTCGTACTTGTACTTTATTTATCATTTGTAGAATAAGCTCGAAATAGCTGTTTCCTCTCATTCGTTCTCGATTTAATTCCACGGCTTCGTAACATTCGATAGATCATCCTTCAAGTCAGTCAGTCAATTTTTCTGCTGTTTATTTGAGGTTTATTTTATGATCTGTAAATTGCAGCAGCTGCTGAAGTATGGAGTTGCACGTAAAGACTCTTCCATTCTATGCATTGTCGCGTTCCTCTGTGGCATTTGTGAAGGCTGATGCAGTAAATCACAGCCACCAAAAATTTCTGATCTTTAGTGCAGGAGAAAGATGCCTCAGCAACCCCCCCCTATATCAAAGATTGTAACGGTAATTGGTTTTGCCAACGAGATATTTAACAACAGTGAGCATCCACTGTTGACGGACACTGCCAAAAATTCTCTCTGCTTAGATAGACTGCCTCGAGCATGTTCTCCGTTTTGACCTGATCTGGTAGATGCTCTGTTCCTTATTTGCTTCGTTAATTTGATTTGAAGAACACTGAAGACGACCTTAGGCAAAGTAATGAATTACTACACCTTGCTTCAGTGGAGGTAGCAAGTCATTGACATACGGTATGATATTCTGGAATAGTCATGCCAAGATGTGCAACAGTCATGTTGATGCTGTCTAATTCGAGTTCCTGTTGCGACTTTGCGACTTCATTTCGCTTTAATCCATCTGATTGCTGACTGTCCATCGTGATAATCAGCACGCGATATAAATTTTACGTTCTTGCAACTTCAAAGTTGAAGTTTGTACCTAAAATCAGTGAAGGATTACATTAAACGGTATTATTGTGTATGTCCGGAAGGAGGTATATGTGGTATCGTCGGAAAGCAGCCACTTCTTGTAGTAATTGTAGAAAAATAGTTTGAATTTGTACTTACTATGGAAGAACGTTAAATGGCGCATAACTTTTCCCAGGCTAGGCTTTGGAACATTCCACTGCCCCCTTGACCTTGCTACTATTTGCTTATAGCGCATTTAAACAGCCCAGGGTATTTAAATATTTGTGACTCCAAATGCATCAACCATGGTTTTTTGCGCTGACGGAACTTCGTGCTCATGATGAGCAGTGTTTAGGAACTGGTACTCCCTATTTGCTACCGCATAGACGTACTGGGTTTGCTCAGCGGTGGAGTGTCAACTCAGAACCGAGAGTTCGAGCCTCGGCAGGGTCACTCGCCTTTCTTCTCTCTGAGGTTGACAAACGTGAGCCATG